GATGAGCAGTGGAGGGAAAGAAAGAAGACAGGTGGTGGTAAAGCCCCTGCTTCACCAAATGCTATTAGTAAGCTGGTTGCTGACCTTATTCCAGCGTCCGGACAACAGCCCTGTGATTTACGACACTGATGAACCCGGACCAAGTGTCCAATGCAGTATGCCGAGTACCAGCTTAAGCCAGGGCAGAAAACGAGAAAAGAAAAAAGGGTGAAAGTGTCCGTTGTCGTGTAAGCGAATTTGCAATTTTTAATTATCCTCTTTTTTATTCATTTATTTCCTGACAATTTGCAAAATAAATAATTTGAAATATATTTTTTTAAAATAGTGTCAGAGATGCATGTGAACAAGAAGACCAAAAAGGTGACGATCCATTCCTAACCTTAGCCAGAAAGGAAAACGAAGCGAAAATGAGGATTCTTCAATTAAAAGAGTGGAAACTTAAAAATCAACGCATGCAAATGAGAATAGGTCTCCCCCCAGATGTGTAATAAGAAAATGAAGATGTGTATAATTAGTAGCTGGTGTGTGAAATTCCATGCTGAAATATATAATATGACAAAATAAACAAATTAAGTTAAGGTACACTACAGTTCCTTTTATTCCTGTTAACAGTTCAGAATAGCTATTTTTGTATAAGTAGAGACAAATTAACACGACGCGAGTGTCAATGCTGCCGAAAGCAGGGCCAAAAGGGATTGTTTTGGGGACAGCCGGCTTTTGCAACTTTTCTGCTGAGAGAAGTCTTCCTTTCCCTGCCCTTACTTATACATGTATGTCAGGTGCCTAAGTAAAATAGCGGTTGATAATTATCTGGCGTTTAGCGTTTCAACTTGCGTCTGCAGCTCCGGAAGGTTCTTCAGCCGAGGTTCATCGTAATCATCATCCCAATCCACATCATTCATTTCACTTTCTCTCTGCATTATTGTGAGATTGTGCAGGGCTACAACGGCTTAGGCTGCGAAAACATCCTTTTCTCCTCGCTCTTCGCCGCTGGGGACGTTTCGCAGGCTAACAACGGCTACAATGATAACAAGAGAATTTCCAAGACGGTTACGCAACCCTACACACTGCCTACATGCAAGCAAGGGAGGCGCCTCTTCAGAATTTCAAAGCACCTCTCTATCACAGTTCTGCTACCTTTTTGAGCATCATTATAACGAACTTCTGCTTCTGGGTTCAGAAGGGGGGTTATGAGGTAGGATCTTCATGCATATCCGCTGTCACCAACAACGAGGCCATTGGTGGATTCATTGTGAAATTGTTCAGCAATTGTGCTATTGTCAAAAATGCGTTAGTCATGAGTAGCTATGAAAACTTTACCATCACAAACAGCTTGAACATATTCATCACCGAGCGCCGTCGTCGTCGTTGCTCAAGCAAGAGAACGTCAAAACACAATCATATACAGTGAAGCCAGGTTAATACGGAAAACAAAGGGACATGTTTTACTTCCCGTATTATCCGGAGCGGGATCTCAGAGAAAACGTCACCGTTACATGCTTTATGGATCTAAAGACTTATAAGTCTTTGTTTGCTTAAAAGCAGACATCTTAACGAGAAAACGTTGCTTAATTTCTTAACAGTGACTGTGGCAAGTTCATCGTATTTAAGGAACCTTACGATCAATTGTTTCTTATATGAAACAATGGAATGTGTAACGTAACTTTGTATTACATTTTACCTTTCTTTTGCGACTCGGAGGACTGAATATTACACAGAACCTTCGAAAATTAAGGCTATTCGCTGTTTCTATCAGGTTTTCACTCAGTAAAATATTCAGCCAAGGCTCTTGGTCATAGACAGCAGCGCCTAGCCAATAAGCTGAATGTCTGTAAAGCGGGGTTGACAATATTTGAGATTTTATGACTCGGGACACATAAAAGAAAAAAAAATACCGTCTTTCGTCCGTATTAACTGGTGTCCGTATTAAACGGTTTAATTTTAAAGGAAATAAATGAGCTCTTCGTCTGAGCAAGCGAAACTGTCCGTTATTTATGGGTCTCTCTTAGAAAATTTCGTCAAACTGCGAGGTAGAGGAAGAATTTGAAAATGTTGAAAAACCGACTCTATCAGCTACGACGGAGATTGCAGTTGGCGAAAGACACAGAAAATTTCATGCAACTTCGAGATATAGGAAAAATATGAAAATGTTGGAAAACTTACTCTGTCAACACCGACGAGGAGAGCAGTTAGTGAGAGACTCAGAAAATTTCATCGAACTGCGAGGTAGAGGAAGAATTTGAAAATGTTGGACAACTGACTTGATAGGCTACGATGCAGATTGCAGTTGCCGGCGAGATTCTCGGCGAATTTTTCGCCGCCGAGGTTTTTGGATCGGCGAGATCCTGAGCGAAAAGTCTTTGAAAATTTTGCAGGAGAAACACTTTGAAACATTTCCAAGTCTCTCGCTCGAATAACTGCGTGCAACGTACAGTTATCATAAATCATGGCAAGCATTTCTACAAATCCAAGCGTATAGAAGAAATAAAACTTTCTTCAATGCATCAGGTTTGCTGGCGACTTAGAAAACTTAGAAAACTACGGTGGCTCATAAGGGACACATCGATTTTTCCGTCGCAACTTACTAACTTGCGATCGCAAGTTAGTAAGTTGCAATCGCAAGTTAGTAAGTTGCGACGGAAAAATCAAGGGGTCCCTTATGAGCAACCGTACTCTCGCCAATGACTGCGTGCAATCTACGGCAGGTCTAAATCATTGCAAGCATTTATACAAAGCCGATCATACACAATAAAACTTTCTTAATTGCATCAGGTTTGCTAGCGGTACTTAGAAAAACCCTTTACTTAAATGTTCCTTGTAGAAGACCTTCTTATGCGAAGCAAGCATGTATACAAAGTAGAACATACACTAAAACTTCTTTTATTGCATCAGCTTTGGGACAGCATACATAAAAAACCCTTTACTATACTATACTCTATGTTGTAGAAAACCTTTGCAAGCGAATCACTCTGAGTTCAGAAAAAAGGTGCAGCTATGAATGGTGTCTTGTTTTTATCGTTCCACGGCCTAGAAGCTCAATATTTGGTAGACGGTGAGTTGTTTTAACTCCTTCAATGCTACCCCAAACTGTCGCTAATAACTTCAAGCATTCCTGGGTTGACTTCCTCCATTACTTGTATAGCTGCAAGTAAGACTGCCTCCCTGAACAAGAAATCATACTTGCTATGATACATGGCCTCATAATACCGACGAAAAGTTCCATAAGGCTGTATTGTTCGAAACGATAATAAGAGTCCATCTGCTTCAGTTTGCGAAAGATTTTCCTTCCTACTCGGCTTTTACAGAGTTAGCATACTCCTCTTCGTTAATTTTTCAGAGACGGCTTACAGGCCTTCTTCAATGTTTTTTACAGAAATGGTACATTCTTTTTCGTTCTTCTTTAAAACTTTGTGATACTCTTAGTGTTCGCTCTTTTTTATAACAACGGTATACTCTTGTTCGTCGTTCCCCTTCAAAACAAGGGTGATATTTTTTTCTCTCTTTTTTAGGACAACGGTGAATTCTTCCTCCTTCTTTTGCTGCTCTTCCATAGGAGCTACGTCGCAGATATCCATGGCTAGTTGCATTTCAGGCTCCTCTTCAGGAAAAACTTGATCGATTTCCATAGGAGCCACGTCGCAAATATGTTCGTCGTTCCCTTTAAAAACAAGGGTGATATCTTTTTCTCTCTTTTTTAGGACAGCGGTGAATTCTTCTTTCTTCTTTTGCTGCTCTTCCATAGGAAATATCCATGGCTAGTTGCATTTCAGGCTCCTCTTGATCACTCATTACATAGTCTGGCTCCATCGTCTAAACAATACTTTGTGAAGTTTGGTGTGTGTGCTGTTTTTATAACCCATACTATATGACGTCATTAAAAAAAACAATAAATTTGTACGCGCTGTTATCAAAAACGAAGAAAAACATTTGTATACCGTCTATGTAGAAAAGACCCGAAGAAAAATAAGCCGTCTCTAAAAAAATAAACGAAGAAGAGTATGCTATCTCTGTAAAAAGGACGGAAGAAAGTGGTTCAGTGGTTAGAACGTCCGAACGCAGGAGTCCAAGGCATAATAGGGAAATTGCCTACCAGATGCAAAGTTCTGGGACCGGTCTTACCATTTTCCCTGCCTCGACTTGTCCGATGTGTGAATCAGTCCGTCAGTCAGTCAGATTCAACGACGAAACAATCTTGTAAAAAAATCGATGCAAACTGCACTTGCATCTCTTACTCGTTGGTGGCATCGGCTCGGACACACTAGTAGATTGTGAAACCGCGAAACCCGAGAACAAGTCTACAGGCCCTGGCCCCTGTAAGGGGCCACGTGAACGCAGGAGTCCAAGGCGTGATTGGGAAATTGCCCACCAGAAGCAAAGTTCTGGGACCGGTCTTACCATTTTCCCTGCCTAGACTCGTCCGATGTGTGAATCAGTAAGTCAGTCAGTCAGATTAATCGACAAAAAAATCTTGCCAAAAAATCGCTGAAAACTGCACTTGCATCTCTTACTCTTTCCAAGCACGGATCTTCTGGGATCTGTACATCGGGCCAAGTGAAGGCAGAAGTCCAAGGCATGATTGGGAAGTTGCCCACCATAGGCAAAGTTCTGGGACTGGTCTTACCATTTTCCCTGCCTCGCCTCGTCCGATGTTTGAATCAGTAAGTAAGACAGTCAGATTAATCGACGAAAAAATCTTGTGAAAAAATCGCTGAAAACTGCACTTGCATCTCTTACTCTTTCCATGATCAAGCACGGATCTTGTGGGATCTGTACACCGCCTTGAATCTCTTCGCCGGAATATCTCTACATCTCGTCATCCTCTTGAATGTGTTTGCCAGGAATTGCGGTTCCTTCTTCTTCTTCTTCTTCTTCTTCTGAATTGCCATGACTGTCTTCACTCTAGCGTATTTTGGCAAGGACAACAACAGACGTCGTGGCACGTTGAAAAGAAGGATATTGAGGTGTGATCTTGTCTTTATAGTGGTAATCTATTTATGACGTCAGCAAAGACGAAGTTTGTTATTGGTTGACGGTGATGTCATCCGATGACGTCGTGGCAGGAGAGCTTTCTGATTGGTCAATGGCTGCTGATCCTACAATGTAAGCATAAAAAAGCTATCTTATTGGATGTCGAACCGTCAGCAGTAGTGTAATGATTTTAGTAATTACCCAAGCACTGATGCAAGGTCATTTGATACCGTACTAGTGAACGGTCGCGGCGTTTACAGTGATGTAGAGCCCATTACGTCCTCTTGTTCGTTTTTCGTCAACTCAAACTCAGTTTTTCAGGATAAAAGCTGACACTAATACACCTAAAGGCCGAGTGCTAAAAGACGAGTTTCAAACGGGGTAAAACTAACCTCCAGTTCGCCCCAGTGGCTCGTTTACTGCAAAATACGCGACAACTCCAGCTTGTCCCTGAAGCCAGATTCAGACGCCGAACTTTTCATGAGCCGAAGATAATTCGAATTAAGGCCGACCCAAATTATTTAGACCGGCTGAATTGATTCAGACGCCGAGCAGAACTAAGTTCAAAAGGCGGAAAATGCTCATTTCGGTCAAACTGCTTACAAAATACGCTATAATAATTTATGCATTAGGTTCGGTACATCAAATGTTCGGCGTCTGAATCAAAGCCGTTCCAAAGTCGCTCCAAAGGCGAAATTCCGGACCGGGCTAGGCGGAAAGAACGGCTGAACAGTTCCAAATCCAAATTGAAACAGGCGTTCCTAATTGATTCAGACGCCGAACTTTTCATAAACTTAATTCAATATATTGAATAGGTTCGGCTCATGAAAAGTTCGGCGTCTGAAGTTGGCCTAAGACGCATCTCTACGTAGATGGATAAACATTCAGTGTACGCAGAAGTTATCAAGTTTTTTAACTTGATCACTTGGCCAGTTTCTTTATTAAAGTCGCGTTCAGTTTAATATGTATTCCACCACGTAGTCATTTTCTCGGGCATTTTCTTTCAATTTCCGATGTAAACGTGGTCAAAATGGCTATTTACTTAACCGAGTTTCCGTTTTGCAAAGCCGGCTTCGAGGAGTATTGATAGCTGAATCACGCAATCCTCAAAAATTAATGTCGCTATTCTGGCTATTTGCACTTATACCGATAGTACCTGACGCCTACATAATGATACAAAACTTTACTTAAGCCGATACTTTGCAAACATTAATAGATTGCGCAGTTTATTTGGAAAATTTCACACAATCCTCTGATACACAAAAGCTAGGTATATATCCAAGGAAGTATTCAGGTAGTTAACTTTCGTTTTCATTTATACTTCCTGCTATTGTAAATTAGTCCCCATCCACAACAGTTCCTCAGAAGATCGAAAGAATTCTAGTCAAGCCTTGAAACAAAGTAGTTTTTTGGTCAGGGTGAATGGATAATATACAACTATTTCGTCTTCAGTGAATATTAATAGTTCCTGCTACTGTCTATAGTTAGAGAATTCGAGGCGATACTAACCTCAACATAATTTTCATCTTCCCAAGATCGAAGAATTGAAGCTGGACTGAATATTTTGGGGGTCAGCGCGAATGGATGGTATACAACGAAGTATTCAATGCTTTCGTCTTCAACTGTACTGATGCTATTGAAGTCTACAGTTAAAGAACCGGAGGCGATCCAAGACCTCAACATTCCTCCAAAAAGTTCGAAGAATCCTTGAAGCGCAAACTTAAGAAAATATTGCATTGCTAACATGTAAAATCGGAATATGACGTAGTCTTGGACCAATCAGAGCGCGGAAATCTCAATATATAGAAAAAACTATTTTTGGACAGGTAGTCAACCTTTGGCGTGGCGGAGAGTGCAATCACCAATGAATTGAAAATGACGTCTGTACAAAAGATTAAAAAGACTCTGAACAATATGCATACCACAAAACAAAAGCTAACAAACAGTGGTTTCCGTAACACCAAATCCCTTGATCGAAGAAGAACGGCTTGACCGTTCGAAATATTGGGTTTACTCAAGTCGCTTTGTTCTTTGCTGTTTTGTTATTATAGTATATTGGTCTTCGTTAAAACAACAAGATTTGGATACCCTCATAATTATAAAAGTCTCTATCACAAATGCGTCACGTTCATCCAGAAATTACTTTTGAATTGCAAAATCGCAGCTTTCATTATGGAACAAATATGTCTCCCAAGCATTATATCTAACGATACGAACAGCGAAAAGAAACTTTGGTGTTTCATGTTTTGAGCTTTAATTTTTACGCTTTCAGATAAATTTTGCCAAAAGTGTGCTTTTATAATTGCTTCATGATAGGTGTTCATCAAATTGGACATGTGTCAACCATATGGATTGATACTCGTTCTCGCGGGATAAAGGATGGATGACCGAGGGCTTATCTTCTTTCGGCTGTTTAGAACACGGTGTTCTCCCAATGATGGCCTATGCGCCAGGTATATGAATGGATAGGGATTTCATTAGTTGAAGTACAGTCAGCTCTCTCAAAGACGGAAATGTCTTTCGGGACGGGCCCAGAGTCCCGACAGAGAGGAGTCCGGCTTAAAGAGAGTCGACGCTAAAGTGATACCAGTGATTTAAACTGCCCGTCCTACAAAGGTGACCGGCCTATAGACAGTCAAAGTAATGTGACACCACGCTGTCCGCCTTAAAAAGGTGTCCAGCTGAAACAAGGTTTGCAAGGGTACTCTTCGGGATCCGAGATTTGACCAAAATACGGTGCGAGATTCGGGAAAACACAAGATCTTGACGGGAAACGGGGTTTGGCGGGATTCATCAAAATATGGGCGCGGGATGCGGGATTTTTTGCCTGTCTGTCGGGAATTCGGGAAGTCAGTTGCCAATAGGGAGATTAAAAAAAAATTTAGGACTACATATCGACTCACACCTTAGTTAAGAGTTCCACATTTTGCATATTTCAAAAAAAAATTAAGCGTTTGATCGGAATACATACTCTTTAAAATTATTAATAATCACAGGAGTTCAGGCTTCAGGAGTAATGATTGATCGTTTATTGCGACAGTGCTATTTCGTATGGTCCGAAATTGTAGAACCACACTCATCAGGCAACTTCAACGATTGACCGTTAAAATTAAAAGCAGGCAGTAAAATTTGGGTGGTTGTTATAGGGATGCGTTAAGAGATTGATTGTGTCTTAGTTACGTTACTCTAGGGTTCTGAAGTACATATCTGTTTCTGTGGGGGCATGAACTCGCTAGTTCGTTTCGCCTGTTTAGGCTACAAACCTCTTTTTTACAAATGATGATGAACTTTTCATTAAGACAAAAATTACATTTTTTGCTAATGTTGCTATAGGGTTTACATTTCTTTAAAACTTTCCATTTTATCTGAATTGAGCGCTCTACGAAATACGCTCTACCCAGAATACAAGTATTTACTTTTTAAAATTAGGTACTTTGTTAGCCGAGCCAACAAGTACTTGCTCGATTATACTACACACTTATTTATCCCTTTTTGGCTCATAGGTCAATTGCCTGGGGAAATACATATCCAATTTCTCTTCAGCCTCTTATTACTTTACAGAAAAACTGAGCAGTTAGAATAATAACCTTTTCTGATTTTAAAATCCATTCTGGTCCGGACTCTTCCGCAAGTTGGCCGAGGGGATTTAATATATCTAGACAGTGCCCTTTTTATGTATGATTACTATTCAAATAGACTCTAAAGTGCTTTCAATATATTTTTAAAAAGCATTAATGAAGTACATAAATATGCAACCAGACTGGCCTCTAAGAAGTGTTATTATTTACCTAAAGCTAAAACAAATTATCAATAGCAAATTTAATATCCGTTTCAGTGGGGCTAAACTCTGGAATTCTCAGATTAAAGAAGATCTAATTTCCATTTAAAAAGCTTTTAAAAGAACCTGTCATCTCAAAATATGATAGTGGTTCCTTGTAGTTCTTTATATGCAGCTAATTGTGTGCGCAGCCATTGTTTTGCTTCTTTGTTTATTCGTTTGTGTAGCAAGCAAACTACAGAGTTGTCTTCCAAAGACGAACGGACAGAAGACCCTCTGTTTCAACCTGATGCCAGAAAAGTACCCGGTATAAAAGGTGCCAGAATAACAGTTTTAAATAACTTGGTACTCATGTCTTTAATTGCTCAAGACCAGATAAACTTTTGATATGACAAACAGTACAGTGATCCCAATTCTGCTCCTGATAATAAGAGAGTTGTGACGTTTAAAATTTCCTGCGGCCATAGATGGGTCTATGGTTGTCTTTTCCAGGCTTTCAGGTAGTGGGAAAGGCGCAAAGAATAGTTAGCAGCACAAAAAAAGTCAAAGGGGAGGGAGTTGGGAGAGAGGCGGAAGTAACCCTCCTCTCTTCCTTCCCCCCCCCCCCCCCTTCTTCTTTTTCATGGCCCTCCACAACCCCGTAAAACCTTAAAATAAAACGAAAAAGCCAAATTG